TTATTGTAGAAAATTTTTTAAATAAAATATTTATCATAAGAAGTTTTGCTTTAATTTAATAATTTAATCTCAATAACTATTTTACAACCTAAGAATTAAAAATCCTTTGTACATTGAGTAAGTCTATTAATTTTTTCTGATGTATAGTATGTATGAAGATTTTGCCTATTTATTAATTTATAGTAGTTAAGTAATTAGATTAATACAAAATATCTGTAATCAGCAAAAAGGCTTAAGTACACTTTTCAAAGGTATAAAAAAATATAAATTTAACGATTCAGTCGAATGTAGTACACATTATTTTTATTCAATCGCTTTTCATCTTGAGAAAGATATTATAATAATATAATATAATGATATTCACCTTGGGAATATAATTATTAAACATTGATGGAGTGGGTTTTTTTTACAAAAACCAAGAAGTTTTCATAACAGAAATTTAATAAATTTTTAAAATATGACTTTTTACATTGAATATGCCAACAAAATATAAATTCAAATACAAATTAATATCAAAAAATTATTCAAAATGTCAACAAACTTATGGAGAACATTATTATGTTGAGGCTAGTTGAGTCAGTGCACTTGAGCACTTTTACTCTCTACTAACTGCGAGGTTTATGCATAACCTCTGCATATCAATTCATCAGACTAATCAATAACTGAGCTCAGATCTGCATACCTCCCCGAACAGCCTGTAACCATTCTAAGACTCGACAACGCGATGTTGGTAAGCCTATCGGTTTTCGTAAAAAGTTTCAGGGCTCTATCTTTTATTTTTTTAATAAATGAATCTTGAGGTCCCTGAGCATGTCATTCGTCCTAATGTACCATGGTTAGTTCCCATCTTGAAAAATCTTCTCAGTGGCTTTGTGCAATTTCTTGTTGGCGAATAGTAGTGTTTGAGGCCCCATCTTAAATTATATATATGCTGATACGAAGCTTTGATATCTAAAATAGAATTTAAAAGACTCTAATAATAAGAATATACTGAATAGAAATAAACTCAATAGGCGAAAAATCCTTGAATATCTTGTACTGGAGTGGCAGACTAAGTAGTTACTTTAAATGAAGTGGAATAAATATTCTATTAAAATACCTTATAGCATAAGATTTTAATATGTTTATGCTGATTATATATTAAAATTACCTAAAATTCTATGCAATATTCACATTCTTCCAACGAAAAATAACAAAATTAGTCGAAACAAGCAAATAAAAACATTAAGTAGATTTTCATCCAGCAGCACTTCCTGTTAAATTTTAAATTCCACTGAATTATACCGGAGCATGAACAATGTACCAGTGGCTAAAGTTCAACTCCAACTTAAATATTTTCTTTGAAAATATGAAAACTTTGAATTGTTTTATTAGACTTCACAATAGAATTTCAATTACTGCCAGCATAAATAATGCAGCATGTTTCTCTGAAGGATAAGAGTATGGTTTGTTTGTATTAAAGAATAATAAAGCAATAAGGATGAAAAAGCTTTTTAATATTTATGACAAAAGTTTTGTTAAAATGTGTTTATTTTTCGAATCAAAAAATAATTTTTTGTTAAGAAGTATTGAACCATTGCCCAACTCTTTTGATTATTTTTTTGAAGTTGTGTTAATTAAACATTCATATATATCCTTTTAACTATTTAAATTAGTTCAAAACAGTAATGCAATTTAAGTTGAATGTCCTTGATTATTACTTATTTTATTTTATAAAAAATTATATTGAAACTAAACATTATCAGTTTACACTAACACTATACTTAAGGTTGATATATGCAATTCTGATAGTTGATGTAAAAAACGTATATAGTAATTTTATGATACAGTTCTACGTTCAGAGAAATCAATTTGGTTGACATCGCCATGATTACTACCAGTTATTTCGAAAGTTACTACTACCAGTATGAAAGTACTTCTATCATTGTCATTTATAACCATTTATGGGATCCAGTAACTCAGAGGTAATGTATGTCAAGGTATGTTATTTCACGGTTTCTATAAAAATTATTGCTAAAAAAATTGAGACGCTAATATTTAATGAATTGCATTTTCAAAAAAAAAACCCCATTATATAAATTGTCTACGCTTTCTTGTCGGTATATAAATATATACTAAGTTAGTGATTTAGTTAGCAATTTAGTTAATTATTGAGTTATGTTTTTTATCTACGATAAAAAGAATCCACTCAGGCCTGTGGCCTACTATGTGACCGTATAAGAACTCAGAAGTTTAAAAATCATCTTAAAAACCTGGCAAAACCTGATTTGTACTTTAAGGAGTGCTCCTGCCGCTAGCCAAAATTCCAAAAAAAAGAAAGCTTCCAGCATAGTTAATCAACGCAGAGCTAGACAGTAACAATGTAGATGTGAGGTACTTCCTCGTCTTCCCCACAACTACGATAGATATGACTAAATAGGAGATTCAATCCCAATTAAATGATTCAGCAAATATTTGCGTGATGCCAATGATATATCCAGATTCTTCAGATCTTCGCAATGATTACTTGAAGCATCCCGTCTTGAAAGTTTATCTACATTGCAATCGACGGAAATAAACCTATAATCTGGAAGCCAAAGTAAAAAACTGTTAAACTGCGTATACACATCTCATTAAGATGTGTTCATCTCATTGAGAAAAGTGTTGCAATTAAAAACTGTCTTGGATGTAAATTAGACATCACCCAAGAGCTTTAAAGAAGTTTGCCTGTCTGATAGTAGGCATATTTTTCTATTCAATATATTATACACTTCCAGACGAGCTTTAGCGTTTACTTCCGATTTCAATAGGCGGAAGTAAGCGCTATTGAAATCACTGCAATGATCAGGACGCCTATAATTTAGATTTACGCAATTTCTTCTAAAAAAACGAACTGCTTTTAAGCTGTTAGTATCGACATAAATTTCTGGCCATAATTGAAAATGAGATATCTAGCCTTACATTGTGAAGTGGCTTTAAGTCTTAAAACTTTAGATTTTAGGAATATAATGTAGTATATGTTGTATATTTTATATAGGATATAACTGGAGAAACAAAATACTGCTCGAGGTATTCCGTAATTGAAAGAATTTTGGACTATTTGCACTAACTCAGGAAAATGAAAATGCACGTTGCCAAGTAAATAGCATTATACTGCAGTATAGTGAATTTTTTCTTCTACGGGTTTTGAATAATAACTTGTCCAATTTACTTTTGGTTTAATAGTAAATTATTTAAATTTCATCAACGTTTTGGAAGTTCATTGTTGTCATAATCTAGATATAATAGATCGCTCTATACAGAATCTTTATTCGGTCATACAAGAATATTTTTTCTAAAACAGATTGGAGTTATAAAATACGAAATGTGTTTTCTAAAAATATAAAAACTCGATCTAAACAAAACCGGATATTTCCTTAATTTTCTAAAATATATATATAAATCGAATCTCTTGTGTGAAGACTGGTGAAACTAGATAACCAGTTTGTTAACTGAACCAATTGTTTAATAATTTTTCTAACAAAATTATTTAGAAAAAGCTATTGTCACGTTCACCCAGAATCGGATATTATGAGGTCGGCTGAAAAGTGGTGACCACAATTTCTTTTAAAAGCGCATTATACATTGTGACCGAAAAGCTTCCGGAAATTTTAAATAAAACGCAAAATTCTTAATCTTCATCAATATTTATCAATATTATCTCCTTCAAAATATGCTCCATTAGAAGCGATACACAAATGCCAACGTTTCTTCCAATCATCAAAACATTTTTTATAGGCGCTTTCCGGTATGGCTTTGAGTTCCCTCTGCGAATTCTGTTTTACGTCTTCTATGGATTCAAAACGCGTTCCTCTGAGTGGTAATTTGAGGTTGGGAAACAGGAAAAAGTCACACGGTGCAAGATCAGGTGAATACGGTGGCTGTTCGATGGTATTTATTGAATGTTTGGCCTTAAAATCGTTGATAATGTTGAACAAATTGAGGTGAATCGGAACAAGCCGGGCGTTGACACGTCGCATACACAAATTGTCCACCAAAATCAAACGAGCCATCTCACGACCGATGCCTAGCTCTCGTGCTATCTCTCTAACACTCACATGAGGATTTTTGAACACGATTTCCTTTGCCTTTTCAATGTTTTCGTCGGTGGTAGAGGTCGAAGGTCGTCCAGAACGCGGCATGTCTTCGACGGTCGTACGACAGTCCTGAAAGGCTTTGTACCACTCATAAACTTGAGTTTTCGATAAAACTGATTCCCCATAAGCCTTTTGTAGCATTCGCAACGATTCTGCACACGAAATTTCGTTCGAAAAACAAAATTTGATGCAAACTCTTTGTTCAATATTTTTTTCCATTGTTTTTTTCGCAACGCACTACTGAGGTGAACTGGTTTCAACAGCTGCCGTAAACGAACTGTCCGACAGATCGCGCTCATTTTGGCATAGTAATTAAGGACAGTGCTGCCAAACTACATAAACTTAAAATATCGAAAAATATACAGCGCGCGAATTTTAAATGAGAACCTCCGAAAACTTTTCGGTCACAATGTATATTTCTTTCGATTCCGTTTCTTCATAACAAATGATCAGCTAGGAAACTGCATCTCTATCAAGGCAATAACAATTTTATTAATATTAAAACGAATTGTTTTTCTGTTTTGCGTACTCATCGTCGTTTTAACTGGTCGTCCTCACAGAGATCTATTTAAAGAATTGGATCTTTAAGACTTTGAAGCATCTTTTAATCAAATCTATTGGCATTTATGGAGACTATGTTAAGAAACAAAATATTTTTAAACCTTATAATTTATTTCTTTTATTTATATGTAGAAAAAAATCTGAAGATCAAATACTGCTAGGTCACTAGTAGGCATATTATTTCAATATTCTCAGCACAAATAAAAATAAAAAAGTATACAAATAAGGTTAGTAATCTGATTTATGTAATAATGAAAACTTAATTTCTTGACTATTTAGTTTATTAATGAATCAATTAAAAAAAATACATACAATTAATTTAGTAATTTTTAAAGAAAGTTTATAAAATGTTCCGAAAGAATTTATAGATTAATTTAGTTGGTGCATTCGTTAAAACCATAACTCTATCTGTACCTTCTACTTCTTCATTCTCGTTATAATTATCAAAATGAATGTCCTGAGAAAAGTCTATTATCTTCACTTCTTCATAGTACTTTTGAAATTTAGTTTTTAAATATTGTAAAATAAAAACACATTGCAAAAGTTTATATAAGGCAATGTAATATAAATAGAAATTTTGTAAGAGATGTGTCCTTTGATTGTAATCATGAACCAGTAGTGGGACAATTGAATGTGCTAAGGCATACGGCATGATACATAAGATTAAATATTGTCGCCTCAATATTCCGAAACTATTTCTCATGAACCACTCATACCGGTCCTTAAACATGGCAACCGTTCCCACGAAAAAAAAAGCAGCCATAAATACCTTCCAAGATATAAATGATAAAGGTTCTGGTATAACTTTGAGTGGTGCAATTACTATATCGTACCATGAATTGAAAAGCGCAGCTATTGAATCGCTGGAAAGTGTCAGGGCAGTGGTAAAGAAATTAAGTACAATTAAAAAATTAAATGCACTATTTTGTCCAAAAAGAACTATGTCTATTAACAGTTGCAGCTTTTTATATCCCAAGTACAGTGAAATGATGAAGTAATATATATACTTGTTCAAAATACTGCTTGCAGAAAAAACGATTACACTAACAAATCCTCCTACTAGAAAAGGTCCAAACGATGAGATTATAGCTATTAGGTAAAGTCCAATTATTCGACAATATAAAAAGGAAATTTCGCTGCAATCGGGAATATTTCTCGGTGTTCTAAGTATGGGTTGAGCACATAAAAAGTTCTCTAAGACATCCTCCAAATCCGTATTAACTCCAAATCCGTGTTCTGGTAGTAAATAATCGTGTATATCAAATAGTTTAAAAGAATAAAAGGTCCATGTGTACATTATTGATCTTAGGCTCCCATAGTATACCAATATTTGGAATATAAACCGAATCTAATGTAGAAAAATATTGATTATAAATTTTTAAAGTAATAATTAATAAAAATTTGTATCGTAGATACCTTTTTATCCCATCCTATGTTAAACATTAGCAATACTTTCGTTGGTACACCGAATAAAAATATTGCCGTTATGCAGTGAAAAACCAGAACACGGATAAATTGAAGTGCGAAAGTTGATAGAGAGTCTCTTTCAAAATGCTATACGAATTCAAATACTCAAAATTTATTTATTTTGGATGAATAAAAATAAACCAAATTCTTACCTTTTTAAAAGACAGCTTACGCGGATTAAACCATAATATTTTTCTTAGTAAAGTATCATATAAGGTACGTCGGAGATAAAGTACCAGGAGATGAGTAAGTGATGCAAAAACAGCTCCTAAAATCCAGTGAAAAATTATAGATTGCATTGGGTTAGTACTGTGCCAGTCATAGATAACATCAAAACTCCTACTGTAGAATGGCAAACTGCACACATCAAGCCAAAAACCAATGAATAACGGCAATGTAAAAAAAATCATTAGGTAGTAGAAGAGGGATTTAATGGTTATATAAGTATAGTCCACCAAATTAGAACTTAGCCGATCTTGTAGAGGTTCAAAAATGGCTATGATTACAAAATATCCAAATAAACAAATTACAATTGATGCAAGCATATTCGAACCATCGGCTAATGTCACTACATGCACACTACTCAATATGAAGTAACCGATTAGAAATGGGAAGCAAATGAGGACATATATAACAAATACGTTGATTGCAAAATAAATAAAACTTGTCTCCGCTGGACTAGAGTGCGTTTGTTTCAGGAGCAAAATATTTCTCCGAAATATTTCCCTGTCTGGAAGTCCATTTATTTTTTCGATTGCCGTCAGAGTTGAATTTAGTAATAACAAAAACAGGATTCTTGCAATAATTGTAATTGGTATTCCAAGGAGTGCTTCCAACACAATACAGATTTCCCTCGATGGCTTTTTGATAAAAATGTTTTCAAAAAGCGTTTCATATATGCGATAGGTTTGCGCTAATAAAAGAATCCGCATAAGAGTGATCATAATTATAGAGAAGCCACTTTGAATCTTGGATAACAACAAGCATAATAAACGGAATAATGTAACACATGCTATTAAAAGTGGATTGGAAAACTGCCGGAAAGTCAGACGTATCTTGTAGTTGTACTTGCATAACTCACAACATAGTTTTCGTGAATTCTTCAACCAACTCTTTAGGCAGTACTCATGAACGGATTCCATACTTCCCGAACATTTACATGGCATGCTCAGCGCCTCATATTCGCTGCCACCATAACAAATTCGGCAAAATTTTTCGGATACATTAGACATGTTTACTTCCTTTCTTTTTTAAAAACCTTTACATAAAATATATAAAACAAAATTGTATATTATTAAATTATATAATTACTTACTTCCTTTTAGCGTATTTTAAAATTTTCAGATTACTTAAGTTGAACAAATAAAGAACAATAAGTAAAGAACAAAATTAATTTCAGTACAAAAACTGTTAAGCACTTTAACTATTATTTTCTTCACAAATATAAAAGAATTATTTTTAAAAAATTTTGAATATATGGTTTAAAGTTATTTTTATTTGAAAATGTAAAGCGAAGCTTGCTATTCTCATAATCTTTAATCTAAAGTCCAAGGTTGTATTTTAACACTGCTTTATACATAGATTGCTTATGCCATGTTTACATTACGATCTTCATTGAACGAACTTTGAACTTTGCGAAGGTTAGTTCCCAAACTAACATAACTAACAGACATATTTAATTATCCACAAATAAATAATTTTTTGAAATTTATTCATAAATAACAACCCAGCTTTCCACAGCAACGTTACTAACTTGCAACTGTCACTTTGAAAATGAAAAAGATATGTCATCTCGACATTTTTGTACCTTATCAATAAAACCTTATCAATAAAACCTTATCAATAAAACCTTATCAATAATGCATTATTTTTAGCGCTGTATTAAATAAAACTAACTTTTAAAGAAATCCGTATCTTAATCGTTCCTATTTTTATATGAGAAAGTAAGCTTTGGTAACTGGTTTTGGTTTAGTTTTGGTTTTGAGCTCAACGTCAACTTCCGTCATCACAGGCAGTAATGTAAACATAATATTACAACCAATATAGTTAATTGATTACAACGACTGTGTTTGCAATAAGAGTGCTTACAGTAGTTTTGAATAGTATTTCATAAATTTTATATATGGCCGAAAGTGTGAATATAATTTCAAGAACTCAGTTACGTATATATTGTATAACTTGCAGTTTTTTGTCGTACTTGCGAGCCACCGAAAAGGCCTTCAGTCATTAAAGTCAATTAACCAAAGTATTGCACAAAAACACATTTCCGCTGCAAACCTAGCTCTTATACGCTCTTAATATATACGTGGTGCTCCAAAATAGACTTTCACTCCTAGCTTTCCTGTTCTTAACAAATTGGTGGTGTCTTCAATTGAACTTTCACTGCAAAACGATTTTCTAGCTACACCAAAAGAGTCTTCTACTTCTAACTTTTAGTAAATTAGTGTGTATAAATCAAGATTCCCACTCCTAGGAGTTCCTAAAAAATTATTGACGCTCCAGTAAAAACTGGCGTTAAGTTTTCTATATTCTTAACAAATTTGTGGTGCTCTAATAGGGTGCTCTAATAGAGATATTTTATTTAGTTTTACTATGTTCTTAATAAATAAATATTCCCAAATTAAGAATTCCATTCCTAACTTTTTTATGTTCATAATAATTTAGTGGTACCTTAATTGAGAACTCCACTACTATTTGTTCCCTATAAATTACTTGTGGCTTAGTAGGAACTGTGTGTATAATATGTTCTTAATAAATAGAGACATCACTCTTAGCGTTTCAATATCCCTAATAAATAAGTAGTAATCCAGTGTAGGCGTTTCCACTCCTAGTTTCCTTAAGTTCTTAATAAATTTCTGGTCTCCCGTAGGAAGTCTCTCTTTGTTTCAACTGAGATTCCTGAGACTAATAAATGCTTATGATAAAATCATAGAAAAAGGCAGAAAAGGTAGATAGAAAGAGGCAAAAAATAGAGAGGAGAGAAATATTAGAGAAATACATGAAGATGGCAAAGAATATGGTGATTATTATAAGATTAATCATCACGATAATATCTTATTAAATAAACTTCTCTTGGGACCACTTTTACAATTTCTTTAAAAAAATGTTTATAAGATTAAAAATATCACTTATATCGTATTTATATATATAGTGACAACAATAATAATAACTAATAACTATTGTTTCTGACATTATTACTAAAGTATTCAGAAGAAAAGCAATAATTAGTAGTACTTGTGTTTGTATTATTAAATTAGAATTCTGTTTATTTTCCTTTTTAAAACCAAAACCAACAACAAAATAAGAACTATAATGCAATAATGCAATAAAATGTGCTCGTATGCATCATAAAAATTAGTTATGTGCAGTTTGCACCCCATTAACCAGGCTGCAAGGGAAGCCATTAATGTAGTTTTAAATCGACTTATACGCTGTCAGCCTCAGTTGCACGATGCACCAGTTCCAAGTATCTGCAGTATCATTTGTATTGAATGGACGTGTACGTAACAACAGAAAATAGTTAACGAAATATAGTAAATGAAGTGTCTACCTTAAGTAAGCAAAAATGGCATAGGAAGAACATTGAATTCATCGGCTAAGAAACCAGCAAGAAAACTTTGCTAGTGGTGTGGCATTTTATAGCTGCTGAAGCTGTTCGTCGCAGGAATCTTGAAGTCCATGAAATATTGCGTTGCCAGTGCAGTGCATGCATTAGAAGCAATTTCAATGCAAAATATCTTCACTTTCTTTCATATTTTTGAAAGGAAGCAAGTCCACATTCTTGTTTATTGAAAGCAATAAAAAGTAATAGCGAATTTTTTACTTTAAACCTGGTTTCTACATTAGTCCATAATCCTTTAAAAGCAAAGATAGTTTACTAAAGAAATTTATGCGAGTATGTGAGTTTATTTTTAATTTTGTGAAATAATGATTTTAACTGCAACTTTTGCTTGAATCAGGTTTTTGAATGACATATCAATTGTAAAAAGGTTTTTTTTTGAAAAAAACAAAGAAAATTTTGTAGTTTTCTGTCTAATTGGTGATGTACTTTTAGATAATGATGCCACCTTATTTAAAATTAAGATGCGTGTCATGGACTCGTTAAAATTGGTACTTTTGGACTATGACGAAGACGCATGTAATGCAGAGTGTTACTGAAATTGTAATAAATTTTTACTAAAAAGCACAAATGTTGACAGATAGCCTGGGCTCTCATGCCCAAATTTGAACCGAGGTATTGTTTTTTCTCTCACTTTCAACTGTTTAAGTTGTAATAAAATCAAAAATTTTGATTTTGACGAACACAGCAAATATTATTATTTTTTTTTAAATTATAAATATTTTATATTATATATATCTTTATATTTATTTATACTTCTTCAATATTACTTCCAAGTTTTTTGCTAAAAAGTTTGATAAAAAAATAAAATTGAAAGAAGTATAATTTTTATATCTCACATGTTTAGAAAAATCTCTCCCTACTGAATAATTAAGAGTAAAAATTTAATCTTAACGAATTCTCCACAATATTTCAAAATTATAACAAAACGACAACACTGATTGCTTAATGAAGTGAAGAGCTTAAATTGCTGCACATTCGCCGCAAAAAGCTGCTTCCCCCGTCGTATGAGAATTAAAAAGTGTAAAAATGTTGTGCCTGACGAGCGCAACTACAGCAAAAAATCCATGAAACAAAGCAAAAACAACGTAAATGAGATGTGTTCATGTAATTTTATTTCATTACAAACGATAACAATACAAAGTCATTTGTAGGCATGGGGGTTTAGCAAAGGAGGAATATTAAAATGCGGGCGAAATGGCTGACTATGATCGCTGTCATTAGCATTACGAAAAGCAGGAGGCAAAGAATAATAACAAACCAGACTAATCGCTTCTGCTGGTTGCTTTAGTTTTTCAAATTTTTCTAATACCAAAATGTGTTTAAATACATGATATTCTTCACTAAAACCGTTTATAGAGAAAACGTTAAGCGATAAAAATCTTTTTTATTTTTGTAATGTTGCCAAACTTGTACATATTCGCTCTTTTTCAATGCCGAGGAAAGCAAACGCATGGTCAAGATTAAAACAAAAAGTTAAACGCACATCGCTAGTTTGACAATGTTAGGCCTTTTCCATGGGAAGCATATCACAAAAGAACAACCGCTTATTTTAAAAATAACATATGAAACAACAACACTATTGGCTTATTTAGTCTAACCTTTTTGAAACCGCTAAACAATTAAGCAGCTCAAGTCGCATGGTTGTAAAGACTAAAATTTCGTTTATTGTGAACGATTTCTGGAAATACATACGAAATTTCCAGTTAACTAAAATATTGGACAAATATTTAATTTTTTTTAATTTACTAAAATTAAAAAATTATATTAAATTCTTGCAGAAGCCAAAAACTATTAACCACTTTCGAAACTTTAAGTTTATATATTATTACGTGTTTTGCTTAAAAAAACCTAACAAAATTACCTGTGCTTCCAGAGTTGCCACCAGTAGTAGTGCTTATTTTATATTGTGCTTTTGCGATATGTTTACAAAAGAAAAGGTCTATAATTACTTAATTGTCCTAGATTTTAAAACACTATAAAATATTTTTTTATTCATTAGATTTCAATATATTAATATAAAATTATAACGGATGTTAAGCTCGTGATTCAGTCAATGAATTAAATCTAACCTTAAGTAGCACAGACTCGTAGAAAATTTTAAAATCATGAGCGCTTTCTCCTATACTGAAGGCAATTATTATCATAATCGTTACACTTTTCATATATTTTTGAACTGTTTTCCCTACATTACACCTCTATCAGTAACTTAACTAATAAGTGAATCACTGTGGTATACCATAGAGTTGGTTGATGCTTTTCTGTGGAGCTACTTACTTTGGCTACATGAGTTGTGGCGTCTTTCCTGTATAATTCTAATGTGGCAGAGTCACTTCTGAGGCTAAAAGAGTTGAAATGTACTAATGTTGAATTTATGTATTGCAGTTAACAGAATAAATTTTAAACTATTCAGGAAATGCCAATATATAAAAAAATTTAAATTAGAAAATTATTAAAACATAAAATTTAATACTCTTTTTACATTTTCATCGAATAGAAATAAGACACCAGATATACATATATGTATTTAATTAAATTTATATACTTTTATGATATTTTTATGTAAAAATTTCTTTCAATTCAACTTAATTAAAACACCTTAACTGCTTTTTTTTTATTTTTCTTTTACAATAAAAGCATTTTTTTAATTTTTTCATTGCTTTTGTTTTTTTCCCAAGGTTCTCGTAAACTTTTTTTAATAAATGTTTCAGTGAAAATTTTATCTAGAAGCAATACGAACTCCCATTTGCATTTGTAAACGTGATTTAACCAAATGTCGAGTGCTCTGAGGTGTACAAATTTTACGCGATATACAACAGTGCCTGCAGCTTCTAGAATAGCAGGTGCAATAATAACTCCAAATATTTTGAACCAGCAGGTTTTAATAAATTTAAATTTCGTCATTGCTTTAAAAAAAATTTTATTTAATGTAAAAAAAGTTTTATATTAAGTTCATTGTGATTTATAATGAAAAGAGTGCACTTCGCAAAAATTTTACAATTTGCTGTTTTCCAGAGTCCCTACTAGCAAAACTTTAAGATGAATTTATATTATTACTTTAGTGCAACTATTAGAAGCACATGGCTCTAGATAATGGTTCTCTAATCACTTTAGAAATGCATACGAGATTTCTATTTTTGCCATAAGTTTTTCGAATGTTCTTAGTAGAAATGTGAAAACTTAGTCATTCTCATTTTGGTTAAGTAAAATTTGACGTCCGACCATGCGGTGCGAAACCGACCAGGAGCTAATGGTTCTAGAATTGAAATGAAAGCTCAGTTTACTTAACAGTAATATTAAAATAAATATTCATTATATTCAATTTATTATAAATATACTTGTTATTAAATATATTTGCTTAAATATTGTAAAATTATCTTAAGCCTGTTAAATCTCTTTAACGTAAACCTTGTTTTAATATATATAAAAAAGGCTTCATCAACTTAACAGATGGAGAAATAAGAATCTACAGAAAGAGAAAATTCTTTTAAAATACATAAAAACAATTCTTAATTTACAATTTCTTAACAAAATAAATGATTAATTATTCATTCACATTCATCGTATTTGCTAGTATTTCCTGCATTTAATTTGCAATTTTAAGAACAAAACTTGTATTTAAAGTTTTACCTGATTTTTTTCAAATACGTTTTTCCTTAACATTTTTCGCCTCGAATAATATTAAACTATTTTCCAATGTGAGCTTTTTTATTTCTCAAATATCTCTTGCATAATGTCATTTAGTTAGGAAGTATATATATACAGGATATATGTATGACACCCATATGACTTATATTACTTTAATTCTTTGATCTTCACGATTTAATCCGCAATAAATTAAATATATGGGGTTCCATTCTATTCTTGTTAAATCGTTTTTATTTAACATGAAAAGATCATATTTAAAAAAAAAAATAAATAGAATGGATTTTTCACTCTTGTATGTCTGCCTCGGGGGCTTTGCTTTGCATTCAACGTCACGAAAAGGTTGTCATCATATCATATGCATTTTGTTACTTTTACAAACCCTCCATTAAAAACGTTTTTGCAATTAAACATTGTTTTTATATTGCACGTTTTCGACATATCAAATGCAAGAAAGTCAAAATTTTGTTGGTCAAAACTAAATTTTCATATGGGGAAAAATATAAGAAATATTTAAATATTTCTCTAAAATATTTAAATTATAACTATTTATATAAAATCTAAATAGTTATAAAAATCTTCATTAACATAAATAAAATAGTGTATAATATATGCATTAATACACATATAATAACTGTCAGCTATTCCACTTGGAACACCTATTGCCTATTGTAATGCCCTAAAAGTTTCTTGACAGGGGCGAGTTAAGGTTCTCGCTGTTATTTGCTAGTACTCTCCATATTTAACCATTTGGTCTTAAAGATAAAGCAGAGTAAATCCAACAAATTTAGTTTTATTATTTCTATTAGGCTAACGAAAAATAACATCCAAGACAATGAAGTCATTTCGCCTGTGGTCCCGAAGAAAGATACAGAAAGTGAATAATGGATTCTATGAAATCTTCCTCATTGCTGCTCCTGCACTGTTCGCTTGTCGGAATACACACCGATTAAGCACCACATGGTGTACGTTTACATGGGCTGCAGATTTGCGAAAACGCAAAAGACTCTTCGTCTTTCGATTTTATCAACTTCACAGCTTATGCGATAAGTCTACATGTCATTTATAATCGCATTGGTGAATTCTTTTATGTTCCTAAATAGTTCACTCATCGGAGGGTTTGTAAATTGACCTCATTTTTATATCAGTTTAAAAATCTCTTCTGCCCACTAGGTCTGCTCTCCCGTTTTCTTTAATACTTCCATATCCAGTAACCGCAATTAATCTCTAATTCATTTGCCATGGCGATGGTTCAAAGAATTCACTTCTGTTCCAGTTGTCATACCAGGGTTTGTATCGATGAGTTGGTCTCATTTATATGCATTTCAGAACATTTTGATATGACCATATCATATTCGCCCTTGTTTCCTTCAATATTTCTATGTCAAGGAACCCAGCAGGAATTGTTGCCAATAATCTATAGCACTTGACTAAACTGATCTTATATACATATAATTTTAAAAAGTTTTTTAATTTTTTTCCTACTTCATTTCAATTTTTTTAATTAAGAAAATTATAATTAATTGTTGACTAAAATAAAAATCATCGTTCTAGAAGTAGTGCATATGCAGGAAGACAAAGTATCATAGAAAGAAAGTCTCATATATATATGTACATATCTAATAAAACTCCATGGACACTTGAATTTTATTTCAAAATAAAATCATAATATTTCTATTATGTCTTTCACTTTGCACACTTCGCTTATTGTAGTGAAATATGCTAATTTTTACTGTGGAGAACTCAATTGCATTGACAGTTAAGTAAAATTTATCAATCTTATAAAAAAATTTTCAGAAGCAATTTAGTTTCGTATTTTGTGTTATAAAGTGTATATAAGAGGTTATTTTTAAGCCAATAAGTCGAAAATCAGAATTAAGAGAATAAGACTATCATCAATAGTAAATCTTGATTTGTTCATAAGTAGATAATCTACCTGTATTGAATGTATGTACATTGGTTTCGAGAATTAAGTCATCAATTAAGTTATCAAAAATTTTTTGGAATTTTCTTTATTTTATAATCTGATAGTTAAAATATTTAAAGTGATTTGTTGAAAATGGCTGATGAAGGGCTTATATGTCGCATTTGCCGCACCGGCAACGAAGAAAATCATCCAGTGAGGAAACCATGTGAATGTCGCGGCACCATGCAGCACGTTCATGAGGACTGTCTTATTGAGTGGCTTATATTTACGCGTAGAAAGCAGTGTGAAATATGTAAATTCGATTACAATGTAAAAGTCAGTTACAGGCCAAATTGCAGCAATATTTTGGTGGGCTGTTTTTCATTGCTTCAGCTTCTCTATTGTTGCGTCAAGCTTTTAACCCGTTGTACGATAACTGCAGTCGTAAATTTTATGTGGCTCGTAGTACCAAAAGTTATTATCAAACTCCTTGAATTATCCTCAAAAAAGCAACTAATTGAAAGGTCATCTGTTTTCCACACTCTCATGGACGAAGTCATATTCGGATATTTAGTTTTATTGTTTGTACTTTTTGTATATTTTTATGCGGTCGTTGTAACTATAAAAAGTACAACTGGTGTCGAGAGACGTAAACTGGAGAGAACTGTTCGCAGAATTAAACAGTTTGTTTCTCGTAAGTGGAGGTATATTCCCATTTTATCTAGCATTACAGGCATTATTGTCGCCGCAACTCTTGGATATGTACCATTTTATATTGGCCATTATCTATCGGTTGAGGTTATTCCGACAGAGTTAATAGAGAGTAATGTAGAATTTCAAGTACTACCAAAAATTTTGTTGGGACAATCATTAATATTGTTGTATGTTTGGGGTATGCAGCGACTCTGCGAATTGTTACAATGGAGTCGCTTTCTTGCTACCATGAGATTTTTGCACAGACTCATTAAAGCCTTATTCATCGTTCTTTTGCAATATTGCTTGCTACCAATGTTATGCGGCTTTTGGTGCAACATTTGCATTTCACCAGGTTTCGAGAAAAATTTAAAATTTTTAATAACATGGAACAGTGAAGAGCCATTTGGATCCATGTTTGCGTATTTCTTTACTGGAATGTATTATATGTGCACCCTGTGGATTATAAAGAATAATTTGAAGCAGATCGTGCATCCTAATTTGAATGTATTCCTAAATTATTTTGATGCCAAAATATGGTTCTCTGGGGTCAGTATTGAACATAATATTGTAACTGCACATTTGATTAACATTTCTCATTTCAGAAATTGTACAAATTGTCATTTCTGGAATATAGTAAGCGGATATTACATATAACTGTTGTGATTGGAGTTATTACTATGCTTCAGTTTCTAATTCCTATGAAAATCTTAAAAGCAATTGGAATTTTTAATTCAAAGTGGTATCAATCAAATATTGACGTAAGTAGAAAATTACATTTAATTAATGAATTAAAATTTAATTGTATTTATACAGGTGAGGTTTGCTTTATTTGGCCTATTGGGCATCAACAATTTTAGATTAATCTTTGAGTCCTGGTGCTATTTTACATTTCCATTAGTTGGTCTAAAGCATTACTTGATTCCAACTGCACAGTTGGATACATATCAACTGCGATACGTGGTTGTAATTGACTTAATCGTGTTAAGAGTTTTGATACCAGTTCGAGTACAACAAGTAACGGAAACTGTAATCCTACCATCCAATGGAATCTTCTATTTTCTTCCACGCTGTTGTGCATTAGCTGCTCTGTGGGTGATGTCTGCTTTGGCTGTAATATTTACTACAGCTGTATTGGATAGCGTCATTAGCTCTATATGCTTTATGCTTGAATTTTCGGAAAATAAACTTGCAAAGTTAATACTCACTGTCACCTGCATAACATTCATAGATCATATTATTGCAGCCGTTATTGACGCAGTGGAATATTATATAAATGTTCTCTTCAGGCTTAGTGTCCTAATGTGCGCGAATGTGGTTACTCTGTTTATATACAAATCTATTTCGTTTCGTACGTATCTGTATGTATTTGGTAACTGGCCTCACATTTCTCAGATTGCAATGGTTATATTAATAATGACCGATGTATTGGTGATTTCATGTATTATATATGGACCAAGGACAAGTTTACAACAAGCAATTTTTGCATTGAAAGATATGGAATTTCAGAACATACCAGTTCAATTAATACTTAGTGAAATATTGCTACCATTTCTAAGGCATGTCGGACTTCTTATTGCTTTACCGATGATACTTGAGGAATTCATATTCTCAAGTTTATTCAATAATTTTTACCTTGAGTTCTACTTGAAATACTATATCTACGTGCTGAACTGTATTATTCAAAACTATCCAGCATTTAATATTTGCATCAACTGTATAATTCACCAACTCACTATTATCTATAATCAAATTAAATTGGAACATTTTTCTAATGAAATACGCCTAGCTAACTATGACGAAGTGGCTATTGAAGAAAATATAGACGACCAACATATTGTACCACTCAATGCCTTGCCGGAGAACATTTTCAACAATATTTTCAACCCATAATTCACAATTTTTTAGTTATATTGTATTCAAGTTTTACTATAATTTTTTGAGAAAAATTGTAAAAATTAAACTTAATTATGAATATTATTGGTAAAATAATGTGGCAATAAAAAATTAACATTATATTTAATATTAACATCAGTTTTCATGCTGTTAAGAAAACAGGAATAAATCAGGAAGGAACAAAGAAATCCTTCAAAACAGATATATTTAATTTTACTTTTTGAAAAACAAAAAACTAAAATTTTGTTAAAATTATTATATTGATGAACTACATCAATCAATGATTGAATGGATTCTAATGTATGTATATATTTTTTCATTCTTTGGATTCGTAGGTTAAGTTAGGTTGGAGTGGCGATTCTGTGCCCAAAGCCCACGTGAGCTCAAATGATGATCCGTTGCAGTACCACAGGATTAGCATTTCCTCATACATAGACTAGCAGGTCAGCACATGAGCAATGTCGAAAGCCACGACTCCCCCATTAGATAAAGATGAACCAATCTCACAATTCCATAAACTTGACTAAGTCCCTAATGTTACAGGAAGATAACTCGGTCAGGTCGGTAAAAAAAAAGGGTTTCAAAGATTTTAGATTTTTTCCTAGCTTTCATTTCATCCGCATGCCATAACGACGACAAAAGTCATTATGGGGTAGCTTCAATCTCATAGCATATCTTCTTATGAACACATTCAGTAACCCGTCAGCACCAAATTTTCATAAAATTGGTGTATTTTTGTACACTTATTATTCAAAAAATGATTTTATTGTTAAATAACGCATATCTTTACATTATGTGTAAAGCAAATTACTGGATTAAAACGATGGATGGACAATAATCATAACATGTCTTCGCAGTATGCAATGATCCGTCTATTTTGAACTAGATAAATCTTGAGATCTTACAGCAAGGTTTCACTTCTAATATTTATTTAGCTATGCTTAGATATTTTTGTTTGAGGCAAACAGGACAGCAATATCTGAGTAGTTAAAGTCAGAAAAAAATGTGCCTACCTTAGCAGGCTTATCTGCACTACATTTACACATGTGTGCTAGACACTGACGAGCCTACCTATCTCATTAAAGGAAATCCGAAATTCTCGAATTGTTTCAAATGTGGCTGTAGTGCCTACCAAATACTTAATTGCAGCTTGATTGTCAAAAAAGATTACGATATTTATATAAGGGATCTTATTGCTTAGGATCTATTTAAACACTGCCATTGAGACAGGGACTGGCAAATTCCGATTCAGTAAGATAAAGTTTGAAATTCTCCAGAACGACAAATAAAAAATGTGAATTTTAGGTCAAATAACTGTTTTTGGTCTAAATTTGTTGAGTGCCATATTTTAACAGTATACTGATTTTAACAGCAATCGTATACAAACCGATGACATCGTAACGTTCTTTGAACCCAAGTAAGTAAGAAGCGAATGAAAAAAATTATATAAAATCATGATACCTTCAATTGAACGAGCATTAGACAACAATATTCCATTAATTATTTTATCTATGGGCCATGTTATGCAGAGTGTCTCGGGCACGGCATGAGTACAATTGTTGTTGTTTTCAATGCAAATTTTAAATTTGAGAATGAGCAAAAATACAATATGGCCGTTCAAACTCCGGCATGAGACCCTCGTTTTTGTGCCCCGGCACTACGACAAAACGGTGTTGTTTAGTAATAAATTTCAAAATTTGCGCCTTTTAGGAGCAAATTACTACTGTGGCGACCCAGTTGGCTGTGCATTTATTGAATTTAAAAAGTAAAATTCAATTTCAAATATTTTTAAGTTTTTTGTTTTGGGATTGAGGAGAACGTTCCGATTTTTCTCTCTGTAAAAAGTTGAATAAAAGTTTATTAACATTGAAAATTTTTAGAGTTTTATTAATTAGCAAGGTGAACAGATCATTGCTAAATTGGTGACCCCGACGTGATTTCGAAAAAGTTTAAATTTAGAAATATTAACTTCTGAGCTAAATATCTAATTATCGAGCTGTGATGTCAGTTGCAGACGAAGGTGTAGTAATGGCTTCTGATAGTGGAAGTGTCGTAAACCGTGTAGCAGTGAAGGTGCCACCGTTTTGGCACGAGCGACCGGAGATTTGGTTTGCTCAGATCGAGGCGCAATTCGCAGTAGCTGCCATTACGAGTGACATCACGCAGTTCAACACGGTTGTAGCAGCGATTGAGTCAAGTGTTATCGCCGATGTAAGTGATGCAGTGCTTCATCCTCCTGAAACTGGAAGATACGCTAATTTAAAGGCTTGCATCATAGAGCGGTACAGTGAGAGCGAGCAGCGGAAGATTCAACGGTTGTTGTCAGAAGTTGAACTTGGTGATAGACGCCCAACACAGTTGCTAACGGAGTTGACAGCATTAGCTAAAGACAAGGTGAGCGATGAGTTCCTTAAGTCTCTTTGGCTGAAGCGTTTGCCACCACAAGTGCGCGCTATTCTGCAGGCATCGAACGTGGCACTAGCAGAACTGGCGAAATTAGCAGATCGTATTTGCGAGGCGGGTGATTTTCAACAGATAGCTGTAGCGTCAGCCTCTGATTGTCCAGCCTATTCTGAGAATGCTGTGATTTTACGAAGGCTTGAGCAAATCGAACAGCGTCTGAGTCGTTTGGATTTACGTCGTAGTGAGTCGGTGCAAAGTCGATCGTCATCGAGGAGACGTAGGCGAACTCGTTCCCGACCAGGAAGTCATCCAGATTGGTGCTGGTATCACGAAAGGTTTGGTGATAGAGCTAATGCTTGTCGGCAGCCCTGTAGTTTTGTGGCAAGCTCTCATCAGTCAAAAAACTAGGCACTCCTTCTACGTCGTCGAGCCGAGAAGGGGTTAGTGTTCGTATAGCTCGACTTAGTATTAAAGATCCCGCCACGTCGACCGTTTTTCTCATTGATACTGGTGCGGACATATCAGTTTTACCGAAGTCGTTCTGTCGTTGGAAGCAAAGGGCTAACAGTGTTGCATCAGTTAATTTATATGCCGCTAATGGTACGCCTATTCAAACATTTGGCGAGCGTCGACTGCTTTTGTCTTTGGGTTTGCGTAGAGATTTCCCGTGGACGTTCGTGATTGCGGATGTTAGCTGTCCTATTGTTGGAGCCGACTTCCTTAATCACTATGACTTGTTAGTGGATTTGAAAAGGAAGCGGTTAGTTGATTCGAAGACGACTTTGATGATGAAGGGTAAGGCTGCTGTGTCTCAAGAAGATACTGTGCGTGTGTGTGGTTCAGTTTCAGCTTATGCTGAGCTGGTTAATGAATACCGTGATTTAGGCATTATGAGTGCAAATCGGATGGGTTTAGTTACTAAGGTTGAACATTGCATCGAGACATTTGGTGCGCCGTCATTTGCTCGTCCCCGACGTTTAGTTGGAGCCAAACTTGAAGAAGCCAAGAAGGAATTCCAATTTTTAGTCCAGACAGGGATTTGTCAACCTTCGAAAAGCTGTTGGGCAAGTCCACTTCACATGGTTCGCAAAGGCGATGGAAGTTGGAGACCGTGTGGCGATTATCGCATGCTCAACGCGCAAACTAAACCTGATCGGTATCCGATTCCGTTCATTCATGATGTGACGAGTATTCTTCATGGTAAAACTATGTTTTCGAAGATAGATTTGCAGAAAGCGTATCATCAGATACCGCTTGCACTGGCAGACATTCCGAAGACAGCTATTACAACTCCGTTTGGCCTGTTCGAGTTTCGCTTTATGACTTTCGGTCTCCGTAATGCTGCCCAGACGTTTCAGCGTTTTATGAATGAGACTCTAGGTGATCTTAATTTCGTTTTTGAGTACATCGACGATATTTTAATTGCGTCAAAAGATGAAGCAGAACACAGAATGCATTTGCGACTGGTTTTAGATCGACTTAGAGAAACTGGTTTGACCGTGAATTTTGCCAAGTGTAAGTTCGGCTGTTCCGAGATCGAGTTCCTTGGGCACGTTATTAGTGCAAAGGGTTTACGTCCTCCGGAGAGTAAAGTTCAAGCTGTTCGTGATTTTCCTCTGCCAGCAACGGTGAAACAGCTTAGACAATTCTTAGGCATGGTGAACTTTTATCGGCCGTTTCTGCGTAACGCTGTGCAGAATCAGCAGCGGTTGTTTCATCTTACACCAGGTAACCGCAAGAATGATAAGTCGGTGATTTCTTGGACTCCAGAAGATGTAGAGGTTTTTGAGGCTTGCAAGAATGATCTTGCCCAAGCTACGTTGCTTAACTTCATGGCTCTGGATGCACAATTGACGCTCACGACTGATGCTTCAGACGTTGCGGTGGGTGCTGTTCTCCAACAAGTAGTGAAAGGTGTTACTCAGCCATTGGCATTTTATTCAAAAGGTTTGAGTCCAGCGCAGACTAAGTATAGTGCTTATGATCGTGAGTTGACTGCTATCTATCAAGCTGTCCAGCATTTTAAGTATGCATTAGAGGGACGTGATTTCGTCATTTTTACGGATCACAAACCTTTAACGTTTGCGTTCAGGCAAATAAGTGAGAAGGCATCTCCTCGTCGTGCAAGACAGCTGGAGTTTATTAGTCAGTATTGCACTGATATTCGTCATCTGGCTGGTGCAGATAATACGGTGGCTGACTCTTTGTCTCGGGTTGCTACGGTTCAGTTGGAGGCAAATGTTATTGAGTTAATTGCTGAGGGGCAGAAGACTGATGCAGAGTTGCTCGCTCAGCTGAAGAGCCAGTCTGAAGATGGTGTTGGGTTGAAGAAGTTGAGATTGCCGGATTCGAGTATTGAACTGTACTGTGATGTGTCAGGCAGTCGTGTTCGTCCTTTTGTTCCCGCAAACTGTCGGCAGCTGGTACTCTCAAAACTCCACGGTTTGGCTCATCCTGGTATTCGAGCAACGCGGAAATTGGTGCAGGCTAGGTATGTTTGGCTTGGTTTGGTTAAGGATGTAGCTGTGTTTGTGCGTAGTTGCATTGCGTGTCAGAAGTCCAAGATTCAGCGGCATACTAAAACACCAATTGGTTCGTTTGCTGATATTGATAGTCGGTTCCAGCATGTTCATGTTGACATTGTGGGTCCATTGCCTTTGTCTCAGGGGAAGCGTTATTGTTTGACTTGCGTCGATCGTTTTTCTCGGTGGCCTGTTGCTGTGCCTCTGTCGGGCATTACGGCAGAAGAAGTTGCAGCGGCTTTTATCGACGGTTGGGTGGCAAGTTTTGGTTCTCCGCAGGCTATTACCACTGATTTGGGTCGGCAGTTTGAGTCTGCTGTATTTCGGGAACTGACGAGATTGCTTGGAGTGAAACACTTTCATACCACGGCTTATCATCCTCAAGCAAATGGTATGGTTGAACGTTTCCATAGAACATTGAAGGCAGCCATTCGATGTCATTCCTCAAGTAATTGGACGCAGTCTCTTCCGCTTGTGTTGTTGGGATTGCGAACGACACCGAAATTAGACCTAAATGCTAGTCCTTCAGAGATGTTGTTTGGAAATCCTCTTTGTGTTCCAGGGCAGATGCTTTCGGATTTCAAGCAGAAGTCGTCCGAGACTGATTTTGTGTCGGCGTTGCGAAGGGCTTTAGCTAAGGTTAAATCCGTTGAATCAACAAGACATTGTCATCCATCTGTGTATGTTCCGCGTGACGTTATTAATTGTAAGCACGTTTTTTTCGAGTGGATCGTGCTCGAGCTCCACTTGAGCAGCCTTACGAAGGTCCATTTGAGGTGCTGAGTCGTAGTGAGAAGACGTCTGTTATTGTTTGCCGTGGGAGAGAGGTGACTGTTTCGAATGATAGGTTGAAGGCGGCGTACTTAACGTGTGATGATCTTGAACAGGTTGTTCCAGAAACGCGTCAGCCTTCAGCGTTGTTGAATGGTGATCAGTTAGTGACTTCTGGTGATTGTAGGCGTGAATCCCTGTTGCCGATTCCGAAAGTGACACGAGCTGGTAGAGTAGTGCGTTTCCCAGCAAGGTTAGCGGAATTTCGGGATTAAGAGTGGTGTTGTCGACTTAGTTGTGGTGTCGCGTTGTTGCTAGTACTCCATCGCTAGGAGGGGGTACTGTGGCGACCCAGTTGGCTGTGCATTTATTGAATTTAAAAAGTAAAATTCAATTTCAAATATTTTTAAGTTTTTTGTTTTGGGATTGAGGAGAACGTTCCGATTTTTCTCTCTGTAAAAAGTTGAATAAAAGTTTATTAACATTGAAAATTTTTAGAGTTTTATTAATTAGCAAGGTGAACAGATCATTGCTAAACTACTATTCTAATACGTTTTGGAGAAAAAATGGCAGTAAGCAACACAGCCTTTTTTTATAATTCGCTAATAGTATAATTATTACACTTTCAAGTTTTAAAGAAAGCCATAAATACTGCTAAGCACTGCTAAAAATTATTGTAAGATAATGTCATAATAAATTAACATTATTACAGTCTCTATGAGTTTTTTCTTGCTAGTTATTTTTGGTGGCAAATTGAAAGTGAGCATATCTAAATTTCCTGATAAATTTAGGCACAACCAAAAAGTATCAAAACTTATGTGACACTCTGCATAACATGCATTCTCGGATTTGCTGTGCCCGAGACACTCTGCACTCTGCTTATAGGAAACTATAAGGCCCTATAGGAAACTGCTTAGTTTAGAGCACGTAACAGTAACGACGTTAGTTTTTTTTACGGATAATTCGATCTAGTTGCTTAATGCATTGACAAGTAAGTAAAATGATTTATCAAATTCATAAAAAAATTTTCAGATTCACATGAGTTTCGTTTTTTTTTTTTTGTTAGAAAAATAGAGAAGTGTATATTTTAGGCAATAAGTTAAAAATCAGAATTAAATGTAAAAAACAATCATCAATAGTGAGACGTGACTTGCTCTTAAATAGATGACCTATCTCTATCGAGTATATTCATTGACTTTGCGGATTTTGGTAAGCTATTAAAAATTTCGAAAGCTTCTAAAATTTTCCATATGTAAAAAATTGACTGTTGGAATATTTAAAGTGAATTTTTGGAAATGACTGATGAAGGGCTTATATGTCGCATTTGCCGCACCGGCAACGAACAAAATCATCCAGTAATGAAACCATGTGAATGTCGCGGCACCATGCAACATGTTCATGAGGACTGTCTAATTGATTGGCTTGCTTATACGCGTAGAAAGCAGTGTGAAATATGTAAATTCGATTACAATTTAAGAGTCAGTTACACACCAAATTGCAGCAATATTTTGGTGGGTTGTTTTTCACTCCTTGAACTCCCACATCGTTGTTTGAAATTTCTTTTTAATTATCTTTTAACTATGCTGTCATTTTCTATGTGGTTCATAGCACCAAGTATTGTTATCAGATTTATAGAATTATGCTGCAATAGAGATTTTGTTGATAAGTCAAGTGGTTTAGGTGCTATGATTACGGAAGCCGAAGTAGGAACCCCCATTTTAGGATTTCTGCATCTCCTGATTTTTTATTCCTTTTTTGTAAGCATAAAAAGTACAACCGGTAGCAAGAGGCATAAGCTGGAAAGAATTTTTCGCGCAATTAGCAGCTTTGGTATTCGTAACTGGAAGTATATGGCTCCTGTATCTGGTATTTTAGGCATTGTTGCCATTGTAGTTTTTGGATATGTACCATTTTATATTGGCCATTATTTATCGTCCAAGGTTATTCCGACTGAGTTCACAGAAAGTAATTTAGAGTTGCAAGTACTACCAAAAATTGTGTTAGGAGAATCACTAATATTGTTGTCGGTTTACGTTCTTCAACGGGTCTTTAATTTGTTGCCATGGAATTTGGTGCCTACAACCATGGCATTTGTTCATAGAATGAGTAAAGCCATATTCATCGTCCTTTTGCAATATTGCTTGCTACCAATGTTATGTGGATTTTGGTTCAACATTTGCTTGGCACCAAATTTCAAGGAAAATTTGAACAATTTAATGAAGTGGAACAATGAAGAACCATTTGACTCGATGTTAGTACATTATTTAGTTGGTGTATTTTATATATATTGCTTGACGATTGTCAAGAATGAAGTGAAGCATACACTACATCCGAAGATGAATAAGTTATTGCTTTATAGCAACATCAAGATTTGGTTCAGTATGGTGTGTATTTCGTTGATTATTTATTTTATCTGCACAAATTAACAACATTTTTCATTTTAGAATTTGAACAGTATGCCATTTTGGGAATACATTGTTATGATATTATATATAGTTATGGCAACTGGCGTAGTTATGATGCTACAGTTTCTAATTCCTATACAAATCTTAAGAACAGGTGGAATTTTTAATTTGGAGTGGTACCAAACTGATTTTCAGGTGCGTAGTCGAAATACACAAATTGAATATAATATTTAATTCTACTTACACAGTTGAGATTTGCAATATGGGTCCTGCTATACATCAATGACCTCAAAATTATTTTCAAGGGCTGGTGCTATTATTTATTTCCCAGAGTCGGTCTACAAGATTATTTGATTCCCATTGAACAATTACGAATATTTCGTCACAATCAACCGCAGTTCGCATTAGAAATTCAGATTGCAGCACTGCGATTACGATTACCAGTTCCTGCACAAGGAGAACCAGACGATTATGACCTACCACCGCATGGAGTTTTTTTTCTGTTTCCACGTTGCTGCGCATTAGCTGTACTATCTCTGATATCTGCGATTGGTGTGACATTTCTATTGATTTTAATTGACTCCTGCTTATGCATTTTACTTGTATTGGTGGCAAATAACATAGCAAATTTGATGCTTACAGCCTCATGTGTTGGGCTTCTTTATTATATATGTGCACCGTCTGGCGAACCATTGAAATATTTCCTAAACATTATCACCAAGACCAGCGTTATATTGTATGGACATCTGTGTACTATGTTAATGTATAAATCACTTTTATTTGCTTCGTATCTCTACATATTTGGATACTTGCCTGCAGTTTCGGAATTCACAATGGCTATATTGATAATGTCAGATCTGTTGATTATTCCGTTCATTATATATGGACCAAAGACAAGGCTGCAACAAGCAATAAACCATATTAAAGAAGTTGGACTTGAAGACGTACCAGTCAAATTTATACTGACTGAATTATTCTCACCATTCCTAAAGCATGTCGGATTCATTGTTTCCATACCGGTGATACTAGTCGAATTCTTTATTCCAAACTTGATTAATAATTTCTACCTCGAACTCCACCTCGGATATTATATCTACTTGGTGAATTTTGTTATTCAAAATTTTCCAGTGATCAATTTCTATATTAAATGCCTAATTGATCAGTTCATGATTTACTATAATCGAATTAAGTTGGAATATTTTTCGCGTGAAATACATCTAGCTGAGTATGACGAAGTGACTATTGAAGGTAACTCGGAGGACCAACATATTTTACCACTTAAAGTTTTACCAGAACAAGTCCTTAACAAACTGTTGATGCCGTAATTTTGGATTTATTAGTAGTAATATAAAGCTTTGCGATTAATATTTGAGAAACATACTTTAACTTTGTTGGCAACTTTTATTGAAATTAAATAAAATTTTCCGTGTTTCTTGAACAAAATATATTATCAGTATTTTCCAATTATGTATTGGTTATGACTAAACAAAGATCAAGCCACTAATTTGATGGTATGTATTATGTTGGTTTTTCTATAGGATACTAATATTTAAAAAATAAAAACTCAATAAGGTAGAATATTTTGTAATGTTATGTGGATGTTTAGTAATATATCATTTATATATGTTTATTTGAATATTTGCAGTCATGCTATTTAGAAATACATTAATGTATTTAGGTTCGTCAATTGTAATATCACTCCCAACTTCGAGATGTAAAGTAGTTCACCCTAAAATGGAATTAATGGAAAGCCAAAGTACACATTCAAGTTTGTAAAACTATTTTATTCAACTAAGCAAAATCAAGAAACAAACACAAAAGATAAAAAAGATCTTTAATATTAAAACATAACTCAAAAAAATATATATCATTAGACAATATACGCCTGATTTGATAGCCAATGATATCGGTTAGTTCGTTACACTAAGGAAAAGCTGTCTATATTACAATTTTCGATACCTAGATGTCTTTCAACATATATTATGAATATTTGAATGTATACATTAATAGAAAACAAAAAAAATACTATAACTGTGAAATATATCCAGGTAGATGTATATATTAGTACTAGGTAAGTGTATTTGCACTCCTATACTGAAAATTACTGTATACTGCCTTCTACGATGATATTATCGTTATTAAAAAACTATTATACTTTTAAAAAGAATTGTTAAATTTTTAAGGTCTTTGAGAATTTTGAAAATCAGTCTTCGCATAAAAAGTAAAAATTCTAAGAAAATATAGGTTCTCTGCTCATTGTGAATACAAAAAACATCTTTTAAAAGTACAAATAATGCTGATATATCATTATATATATCAGATATGATATATCTGTGCAAATGATATACGATATGGAGGCAGGTACCAGACAATATAGAATCATTGCAAACTGCCTTCTCAACTTTTTCCTTATTAATTGGAGTCCATGTTAAAAAATGCTTTAACAACATCTTCTATAGAATACATTATTTGTTAATGGTTTTATAGAAATAATATGCATATAATCTATGCGTTTATCACTTGTAATCCTCGTTTTTGGATTTACGTTGGCTAAAAGAGTTAAGTATAGATTTTGCGGATTTCAAGTCATATTGAACTTTCCGGTAAAGAAATATCAGACAACCCTGTCAGAAAGGAAGCAATCTCTGAAGCTCTGATCTGAAGATCTTCATATTTTCAATTATTCAGAAAATAGAAGAAATGAATAATGTTTTATTAGAATAATAAATGAACAAAAACAATGAGGAATCACAGGAATCTTAGCAAGGCGCCTTTAAACTATTTTCTGAATAATTAAGAATTTATTATATTTCATAGTAAAGAGCATGAAATCCCGAAATATGTGTTGGCAGTTTGCCCAACATTAATTTATGAAAGAAAAAGATACTTAGGCAGACACCTTATATTGAACGAAAAAATTAGTGGCTTATTGAGTTATATTCATCTACGAAGAATAAAAAGATTTATCGATTTTTTGATCGGAGTGTGATATTTCATTTAATAAGTGTGTTGTGTTGGTACCCATATATCTAATTCGATTGTGTTAAATGAACATTTGTTTGTAAGATGACATTTTAAGTCACATTTATTTGTGAAGATAGGTTACACACCTATTATTAAAGTTTGTAAAAATTCTGAAAAAATACGCTATAAAAATGGTGAAACTTTTTCAAAAACATGATCAACAATTTATGAGGTTTACGGTAAAGATGCTGCAAGGGAACGCTGGACCCAGAAGTGGCTTACATGCTTCCGTTATTTTTTGTATCACTTGATAACAATAATTTTCGATCTTATTGAATTAAATGTCCGATCGAATTAATAAAAAACAATGGAATATTGGTTTACAGTATTCAGAAAGAAGCTTATAGTATAGCAATTGATACGATATTAATATTGCACTCATTGAGATAAGTAAAAAAATAATATAAAATAAACAATAAAGCAGCAAGATATAAGAACGTTGAGCTATAGAACACTAAGTTTCTGTGTCTCAATAGAACTTGAATAAATAGAAACACTTTACACTAAAAATGTTTGCACTGCATGTTGGTATATGAAGTATAAGAAACATAAATTTATTTCGTTTGATGTTAATTTTAAAAAATTTGTGTAAATGAAATTTTTTACTCTCATTCTACATTTGCTTTAAATTACCTTATTTTAATATATGTATAACATATATGCATAAATCTGCGAAATGGACATTTCAAGCTTACCGACAACAACTTCAGAAATAAGATTTAATTTAGTATGATTGGTTGTTAAGAGCAGCAAACATTGTCAATCGAATGTTCTAATTTTGTATGCAAATTGGAAAAAAATATGAAAATAATATTTTTATTTTGATTGCATTGAAAATTTTCTCTCTGCAGCTCACAGCACTTCATTTTACCAAATAATTAATGGAAATCGAGTGATGCAACCAAGCAAATGACAAGAAGATAAAATGTTTAGTTTAATTATTTCGAGATTAAATATTAGATTCCATTTAGTTTATGCTGTCGTTTTGAAATTGTCGTAATTTTAAAAGTCACAAAACATAACACTTTGCCCCAATTTTTCTCTTCAATTTATCTGTACTTTATTGAATTATTTATTATTATTTTATCTTTTTTACAAACTTATGTAAGTAAACAATCTTTAATACTTAGCAAAGATTGCTCTAAGGATTTTTAATACTACTATTCCTATATAAATTTAGAATATTTAAATTGACTAAAACATATTCATATTGTTTGGTAAAAACTGTAATCTACATAATACGAATAAATATTTGTACCGTAACAATAATTAAATAAATGAAATAAAATAAAATAAAATAAAATAAAAAATAACAAAATTAAATTAATCAAAATAAAATTAACTCAAATAAAGTTAAATAAAATTAAATAAAAATAAGTAAAATTAAATAAAATTGAATAAAAAAAAGTTAAATAATACTTAATAAAATAAAATCAGATATAATAAAACAAAAAAATAATATAAAAAAAATAGAGTGAAATTAAACAAAACCGAAAATAAAAGAAATTTAATACAATATAATATAATAAAATAAAATAATACTAAATACTAAATAAAATAAAAAAATAATAAATAATACTATAAAATAAATAAAATGGAATAAAAGAAAATAAAATAAAATAAAAAAAAATGAAATAAAATAAAATAGAATTAAATTAAATGATATAAAATAAAAATTGTAAAATCAAATAAAATAAATGTAAACTACAATAAAATAAAATATAATCAAATTAAATAATACAAAATAATATGAAATAAAATAAAGTGAAAAAAAAAATAAATCTGAATTGTAAAAATACCTTCATTATTCAGTTCAATATATCTTGACTAAAATATATATATACCAACCGGCCTTAAATTTATGGATCTTCTTTGTGTCGTTATGTCTCTGAACATCTGAAAAATGCAGCACCTATTGAATGTTCGTTTATTAACCCATTTATATGAAAGAGTTTTTTTTAGGTATCTAGCAAAGAACCAGCTAGTTTCAACAATTTGTACCTTAATTCATTGAATTTAATTCATAATTTCTTATGTCATGTTAGGAGGTCCATTTTTTTAATTAATAATTACTAATATCTTCTGTAAATCGTATATAAAATATATATACCAAATGTTGGGGTTTCATAAACTCACTGGAAACTAGTGGACGCGCTTATAGAAAGCATGAGCCGCCGCTTCTAATTGAGCGTATGATTAAGCACCTGGAAGCGTGAGCTTGGTAATTTTGTTGCCTAGCATTTCAACTTACCTTCCTTCGATATACTAAAATATTGTTTAGTTTTTGGTTGTATTAATGACCAAGACATGGAGCTTCGCGAACTTTTCGATGGACCTTTAACTATAGCACAAAACATAAGTAAATATTCATAGATCAAATAACTGCTATACTTCATGTAAAACCTTAAACTTTGATGCATAAATATAACTTTTTCTTTTATTATGAAAAGAATATAATATTACTTGACTAAAAGACAGTTGTTCTGGATTTTTATCTAATGCAAGTGGCACTATATTTTAATATACACAAGCCCACAATAATTGTAAAAATACTTTTTTTAACTATAAAATCTTAGTGTAAATTAGGTGTGAGCGCTATACCACTTCAGCATAAAAGCATATCTCCTTTATTTAGGTAAAAAGATTTACAAGTTAAATGAATATTTTCTTGTAATGTGACATGAGCCCTTTAATAACCAAAAAAAAAGGACATAAAAAATTATTTCGATTATCCTTTTCAACTGCAGCACTAAATTTTTTTAATGCTTTAAGTATGAGAACTAAGTCCCAACAGTGTCCAAAGGCATTAAGTTTTATTGAGAACCTTTTATTGCTGCTCTTATCCTCCTTTACCCACCTTTGATGTAAACAAAACTCCGTTTTAACGATGTGGGTTGCTTAGCCATTTCTTTTATAACAGCAACCGCTTGAAGGACATGGACTTTAAGTATTAAATTTTTGATTAAAAAAAAAAATAAAAAAGGCAAGAGAAGTAAATAGGTCCTTTTATACGGACCAGTTTAAGTATCTTATAATTTTGAATATTAATTGTCAAACGATACTTTTCAATTTAGCAAAACCTGCAAAAATGTATTCTATATATTTCACACAACATTAGTACATTAATACGACCAACTGTTAGATAGCGAAAAATTATTTTTGTATTTAATTGTGAGTCATAAAAAGATACTATCTTATTTTTTTAATTTTAAAGGTAGAAATAATTTGATAAATCTTATATGTTTCTTATATTTCAATGCGTTTCCGATATTCGCTTATATATTTTGTACTCACACTTAGTACAGGTAGCAATTTTGCTGAATTGTACTTTAGGGTTTCGAAACTTAATTACTTATTTATTTTAATTTGTTTGAGTTTTATCCCATTAGAGTCGTTGAATCTCATTTTTGTGGTTAAA